CTCATCGCGGGGCTGGAGCAGGACGGGGTCATCGACGGCTTCATGACGCACTACCTGCGCGAGGTAGGTGCCGCTGCGCCCCGCGCCCCCACACCCCGCCGTGCACGGAGGCCCTGGCGGGGAGAAGGCCGCAGGGGCTCGGCGGCACCTCCTGACCGCGCCCCGCACCCCCAACACCCCCCTGAGCGCGTTGGCCCGCTGAGGCCCCAGACCAGCCACCCACGGCCGGCGCCGCACCCTTGCACCCCCGAGTGCCGGGTCTCAGTCCGCGGGAGACAGGCCGGCCCCAGAGGGGCGACAGTCACCCCCACACGGGGTCGGGGCAGGGCGCCCTGTGCCTGCGACTCCAGTAAGGGGCGTGTGGGTGAGCGGGGTCTGCCCCCCCTCAGGGGACCAGCCTCTCCGAGGGGGCGGGCGGAGGCCGCCTGGGGGCCTGGGGCGTCGGGGCGGAGCCTCAGGGATCTGACGCTGGCCTGGGGCAGCGGGGGTGCGGCAGAGTGAGGCGTCCACCAGCGGGCAGACAGCCGCTGCAGGGGCGCGTGGGCACAGGCGGGGCTCCCGCGGTAGGGTCAGGGCTGGTGGTCGCGTGGGGGCCGGGCTGACCCTGGCTGGGCTGACCCTGGCTCGGCGGCCCCATGGGCCGCACGGCTGTGTGTCTCCTGCGGTGCCGGCAGTGGACACACGGCGGCCTGTCCCTGCGGCCAGCGAGCCTGGGTCCTGGGCCGCGGTGGGCTCGGGGCCTGGGGTCTGTGGCGGGGCTCAGGCCGGACGCTGCGGTCTCTGCCGAGGACCGGCCCTGGCGGCCACTCGGAACCCCACGCCGCACCGGGACGGGGGGCAGCAAGTCTGGCTCGGCTGTGGCCAGAGAGGGGCCACTGAGGGTGGAGCAGAGAGGTGGGAGGAGAACCGGGGGCTCAGGGCAGGGCGCCCCAGGAGGTGCCCAGGTCAGGGGCTGGCCAGGGAGGGCCGGCAGGTCCCGAGGATTTAGGGCCGTGTCCAAGCCGGCCTGGGGCTCTGGTTGTGCCGGTGAGTGAGGGCCGGGGAGGCGGCCGCCTGGGGAGGGTGGAGGAGGGAGGCCACGGGCGGGCGGGGCGCCAGGACCAGGTTGGGGGGCGGAGGAGCAAACCCCAGGAGGGAGGGAGCACGCGCTCTGCACCTGCCTGGGGCGAGAGGAGGGGGGGCCGCGGGTCACGCCGGAGCAGGGCCTGGGGTGCGGCTGCCAGCGCAACCGTGGCCTCGGGTGCCCTGTGCCCTCTGTCGAGCCACCCCCACCGGGGCGCGGCCGTCCTGGCCGCCCCGACATCGGGACAGGAGGGGCCCGGGAGGGTCAGTGCCCCCAGGCTCCGGCACTGCGCCACGCGCTGAGCGCCCGCCCGGCCCCCAGGGCGAGCCGCACCTGAACTCGGCCCACGGGCACATGGCCTGCTACTGGGACGGCTCGGCGCACTACCTGATGTACCTGGTCATGGTGGCGGCCATCGCGTGGGAGTA